AAAAAAAAAAAAAAAAAAAAAAAAGGGAAAAAATAAAAAAAAGAAAAAGAAAAAGGAAAAATCAAAAACAAAGAAAGGGATAAAGTAAAGAAAAAGAAGTAAAAAATTAAAAGAGAATTGATAAAAAAAAAAAAAAAAAAAAAAAAAAAAATAGGATAGTGAAAAATCAGAAAAAAAATAATATATTTAAAAACATACATAATTTTCACAACAAATGCTATCAATATAGACTATGCCTGAATATATAAATTTTTATGTAAATATATATATTTATTTTTAAGAAATATTCTTAATACATTTCCTTTAAAAATTAAAATAATAAATTATTTACTATTATACATATATAAATTTTTTTTCATAAAAAATAAACAAAAATATTTGATTATGCATTCATATATATATATATATATATATATGTATTCATATTCATATAAAAATTATAAAAAACTTCAAACAAATTCGTATTGATATTTTTTTTTCATTTTATGCTAGGATACATTTCATTGTATGCATCAGAATAAATTTTTTTTTTTTTAATTATTAAGTTTTATTATATATACACAACTTATTTTATATAATTTATATTGATAGTGTTATACATTGAAATTGTACATAAGATCTTTATTGTTATAATACTTGAAATATTTTTATATGTGGGTGATTAAATATAAGTAAATACTTATTTATGAATTATTGCATGTCAAAGTACATTTTTTTTTTTTTTTTTTTTTTATATATTTAGTTAATTTATATAACCTTTTTATATTTGTATATATATATATATATATATGTAATTTTTATTAGAAGTGATATTTATGTGTATTAAATTTTATTCTTTAAGTAATTTATTCAAGTAAAAATAATTTTAAATAATTATATTCTTGCAATAACACATATTATATGTATTATATATTTTTTCATATTTATGTAAAGTTTACCATATTTTTTTTTTTTTTTTAATTTTTATATTAAAAGATTTATATATTCTTATTTTAAGAAAACATCATTGTCAAGGAGTCATAAAAGAATACATTATATGGAATAAATTTTTTTTTAATATATATATATATTTTATATGCTAAAATTTTTATGCGCAAATTTTATAATTAATTTTATAAATATACATTTATTTAAAAAAAATGCATTATCATCATTATTCATACACAAAAAATATTCTTATTTAATATATAATTTTTAGTTTTATTATTTATAACAAAAGCCAATATAATAAATTTTTACATTTAATTTTAAATATATATTACATTTAAATTTTTTTTTTTTTTTTTATTATTTACTTTTTTTTTAATTTTATTTCAGTTTTAATTAATTTTTATGACTTTTTATATAAGACATCTGCGTATAATTATACATTAAAGTAAAAATTAAAAAAATAACAAATAAAGGATAATTTAAAATATTTTTTCATATAATTTTTAAGAAAAGAAAATATTTTATGTTATATTTTGTTTTCTGTTTATTATTTTTGTTAAATACAATGTATTTTAAATAGGTTTATAATGTAAAATATTTTACAGTTTTAGAGTAAATAGTATATGTATGAGTTTAAGTTTAATATATTTTAATGTGTTTTATTATTATGTATATAACTTTTTTATTATATTTATTTTTATTTCGTACATTTTTATTCTTCATATAATATTTTGAATTATCTATGTGGCTTTATAGTAACTTTTCATAAATATTTTTCTTATATATATATATATATATATATATATTTATATATATATATATGGATATATGTTATAATTTGTTTGTACGTGTAAAATCTTAAATGTGTATGGAAAATATATATATATGAAAAAAGTAAGATATACTTTATTTTAAATATTTTACTCATTATATTTTTAAATATTAAATTATTTAGTTTATGCCATATGCATTATTTTATGGTTGTAATAAATTCATTAATCATAATTTTAAAATTATTATGCATTGCATTCATACAACATATTTAATATAATTACTTTATTATAACTTTTTATTTTATTTTTTTTTAAAATATTCCAATTAAATTATTTATATATATTTTCGAAATAGAGAAATATAAGATGCTGAAAAATTATGTATTCAATAATTTACTTTTTTCCTTATAACAATTACTTATGCTATATATATATATATATTTTAATTATTGTGAATAAAATAATTTGAAAAAACGAAATTCTTTGTAAATATTTTATGTGAATATTACTTCAACCATATGTTTGCAACTGTTTAATATTTAATTTAATAATTTGTATTTATATGTTATATAATTAAAACTTTTTGATTTTTTTTTTTTTTTTTTTTTTTTTTTTTTTTTTTTTTTTAA